GAGGACGGTGAGCAGGCAGCCTACCTTGGCCTTGATGATCTGCTCCATGTTGGAGGTGACATCGTCCAGCTCCAGCTTGAACTCGCTCTTCTCCTTCTCCAGCTTCTGCTTCACGCGCTGCAGGTTGTCGATCTGCTCGCTCAGCTCGGCCACGCTGTCCGCGTGCTTCTTGCGCAGGGCCGCCGCCGTGGCCTCGTGCTGCAGCGTGGCCTCCTCCAGGTCCCGCCTCATCTTCTGGAACTCGGCCTCGCGCTTCTTGTTCATCTCGATCTGCACGGACGTGGCCCCCCCAGCCTCCTCCAGCCGCTCGCTGATCTCCTCCAGCTCCCGGGACAGGTCTGAGCGCAGCTTCTCCACCTTGGCCCTGGCGGTGCGCTCGGCCTCCAGCTCCTCCTCCAGCTCCTCGATGCGAGCCTGGCCCGGGACACAGAGGTCTCAGCCCCACCGCCCGGAGCCGTCCGGCGGAGCCCCCACCCCAGAGCTCTAGGACATTCAGGTCCCTCTAGAGCAATGGTTCTTAACTAGGGAAAGTTCTGTGCCACAGGGGATAGTTGGCGATGTCTGTAGACATGTTTGCTTGCTGTGACTTGCCATCTAGTGGGTAGAGGCCAGGGGTGCTGCTAGACATTCTGTACTGCACAGGCCATCAGTAGCAATTTGGTCGAAGCTGACCCCTCAAGGCGTTTAGACTCAGTCTATTATCTGCAGCCCTGAATCCTGAGAATCTATGTTCAGATGGGGATTCGGAGATCCTACGAGATCCTGGATCTCAAAGATTTCACAGATTCACTAGGCTCTGCTCTGCTAAATATAAGGTGGGAAAGCCTGCGTTGGTATCTTACAAATATTTGCAGCCATATGCCGTAAGACAATAAAAACTTCTGTAATTTTCTGAGTTAACCACAAAATCCAGTTAACCATGTTCTTCACTCTCCAGGGCTTGCCTTATTTATGCCTAGGCTCAGGTCCACCTTGACCGTTCCCTTCTAGGCCAGGCAAGTGCTAGCAGGTTGCCCTTATCATCATCATGTCCCTACGTCATTTTTTGGCCTTAGCCTTGGCCTTGACTAAATTGGGAGAATGTCCCATCTGTCATTTTGATCTGTTCCCTGACCAGCCAGGAGCAAAGGGGAGTGTTGATCAGTGGGACCCCTGCATTGGTGGTTGTGGACAGTATTTACAGGATGTGTGTGGGTGGGTGCTGGGAGCAGGAGAGAGAGGAACACCATGCCTCTACTCCCAAGATGAAGAAAGTGGGACTGTGTGCAAGAGCTTGGGCAGGAAGAAGGAGGAGCCACAGCCCTTTGCCGAGACCTGGTGAGGATAACAGCACTGTTGCTCTGGGTCTAAGAGCCAAAGAATTTGCCTCGACCCAAACAGAAGACCCTGGAGAATGTCCTCATATTCTAGCTAAAACCCAGAGGGGCACCCAAGAAAATGGGAGGGCAAATTATCACTGAAGGCAGGCCAGCCCCTGAGCAGCTCCCCAAATGAGTGGAACTGTGTCCATGCGTCACTTGTAGCCTGGACTGTGGGCTCCAAATGCTGAGGGGTGATCAGCTCTCTCCAGTAGCCACCATCTGACCAGAAAATTAGAGGATAAGGCCCTGCCCACAGCAGCTGAATACATGTTGTCCTTGGGGCCACTCTGTCCAGATGTGGCCATGCAGCTTCCGTTGCTATAAGATGGGGATGGCAGTACCTGCCTTCCTTGCTTCCAGGGCTCTTCTGATAAAGACAGGACGAAAAGCCCATTAAAATTCAGGGTGTGCTAAAAGTAAGGGAGACTGTGGCTGTTAACTTACTCTCCTCCTGCAGAGAGATGAGAAGGCCAGGGAGAAAACAAAAGAACACCTTCTTGCTAGTGGCTGGCTGACTGCTAGCTGACAAAATGGTTTAATAAACATTATCTCCCCTGGTCCTCTGTAAGGCAGGTGTTGTTATCTCATTTCATGGATGAGAAGAGAATCTGAGACTTGGCAATGGGAAGTGACTTGCTCAGAGTTGTAGGAGTTGACTATATATCATGGGATCAGTACCTGGGAAGAGTATGATCAGAGCACCCCATAGGAAGGGGCTCCCTTCTCACCCGCATACAGAGGGGAGAAGTACCAGAGAAAGGGTGAGATGAGAATTGAACCCTGTCATTTGCACCGGAGCAAAATCCCACGACGCAGGGCATAGCTCAGCAAGAGAGCCCTTTTAGTAGGCTTGTTTGCCTCCCCCAAAGAGCCCTGCTAGAATAAGACATCATTACTCTAATGGGGGAAGGTCAGTGCTCTCCAGTGCCAGGTGAGGGCTGGTGGGGTCTCCAAGGCTGCCTGGAGTTCTAGATACTGTCTAGAACCCTAAGCAGCTCTGCATCCTCAGCTGCCTCCCCACTGAGCTCCCCATTGGCTGTACCAGGAAGAACTTCACCTGATTCTCCTTCAATTTCTTCTGCAGCTGAAGGGCCAGTGCCTGCTCATCCTCAATCTTACTGTTCTGCTGATTAATGTCAAACTCTTTCCTGGAGGAGAAGTTGGGGGGACGGTGACAGGTGGTCTTCCTACCTCTGTACCCATTCTCTTCTCTTGCCATGGCATGCCAGGACCAGTCCCCTCCCCCCGGCCCAGACGGTGAATACAGGAGGGCCATTTGACCTCCTCATTCACACTGGGCCCAGGACAGTCATGGCCAGTGGGGGCGAAGCACTCTATGCTCTAACCCTCAGGCCAGCCATCTCCACTAGCCCTTCCTGGCCATCTCAGGCTCCTACTTCTTGATCTTTTCTTCCAGCTGCAACTTGTCGTTCTCCAGGTCCATGATACTCTCCTGGGTCAGCTTCAGGTCACCCTCCAGCTTCCGCTTTGCTCGCTCCAGGTCCATGCGCACCTTCTTCTCCTGTTCCAGGGACCCCTCCAGCTGGTGGAAAGAAGATAATAAACAAGCAGTAGAAAACTTGAGATCCACAGTGTGTGCTCTTCTGCTCCCTTCTAAACTCAAAGTCCAGTGAGATTGGAGGGCAAACCAGCAGAGAAATCCCTGCGAGTACAAAAAATTCTGAGCCCCAGCCTAGTGAGGAACTGCAGAGAACAAAGAGGCCCCTTCGCTGTTGATGTTGCCTGCAGAATCCTGACCTGAGAGAGACAGAGCATGGTTCTTACTACTCACATCATCCACCTGCTGCTCCAGCTTGACCTTAGACTTAGTCAGTGTGTTGACCTTGTCCTCCTCAGCCTGAAGGTCATCTAAGGCCTGCTGGTGGGCTTCTTGCAGAGCCTTCTTCTCTTTGGTCAGCTTGGCGATGATCTCATCTAGCCCAGCCATCTCCTCTGTCAGGTTCTTCACCTGTTGACCAAGAACCCCATCCCCTTTAGGGTTAGAGGTCATCGGCCTGGAGACATCTATGAGGATGTCCAAGACCAAGGACCAGGACCACACTCTGGTCTGGGAATCCTGAGAAGACCTGGGCTAGAACCAGAAGGAGCTGCCCTCACCTTGTTCTCTGTTGCGTGCTTCTCCTTCTCCACCTTGGCCAGCGTCAGCTCCAGGTCATCAATGTCCCTTTTGAGCTCAGAGCACTCATCTTCCAGCTTGCGCTTCTTGGCAGTGAGCTCCGCATTCATCTCCTCCTCGTCCTCCAGCCTCTCGGTCATCTCCTTCACCTTGGCCTCCAGCTGGATCTTGTTCTTGATCAGCTGGTCGCAGCGCTCCTCTGCATCATTGAGGTTATCTTGTTCCTGGAGAAGAGGACAGAGAGGAGAGTTGGTGATTAAAGAGAGGAAAGATCCAGCGTCTTAGTTCCTGGGGGTGAGATGGGCTATAATCCAGGGGAGGAAAGGGAAGGAATGAAGAGATCATCGTGTGGCCTCACCGCCTGCACTTGGAGCTGGAGATCATTCTTCTCCTGCAGCAGGGACACCATCTTCTCCTCCAGCTCCTTGCGGCGAGCCTCTGACTTCTCCAGCGCCTCTTTGATGCGTGCAAACTCCTCCTTCATGGTGGCCATCTCCTTCTCTGTCTCTGCACTCTTGAGTAGTGGCTTGATCTTGAAGTAGAGCTTCATCCAGGGCCAGTTCTTGACCCCCATGAAGGCCCGAATGTTCCACTGGATTACCAGCAAGGCATCCCTGGCAAGGAAACACGGAGGCAGGAAGGGGCATTCTGAAAGAGCACTTCCCAAGCATGGGACCAACTGCAATTGGCTCCCAGCCCATCTAAACAAGCTCATAGGCACCTGAGGGCAGGAGCCCTGTGTTGTTGCCTTGATATGCACCCCGACTCCAACATTATCACACTGAACATGGAGTTGCTCAATAAATATTTATTAATTAATTCAACAAAAGGGCAGTTTATATCTTCCCTACTGGGGCGTTAGTAGTAATGAAAGCTACACCATTCAGAGAGTGTCTGCTAAGTTCAGTGTTTCTAATCCCATAAGAACCTCAGATATGTTAAAAAAATTATATTTTACATGTAAGAATATCTATAGTGTACATGTAAGTTATGAAGCATGAAACAAAATGACTTTGCATGAACCTATCAATCCTTCGAACAACAACTAGAAGAGCATGTTGCCAGTGTTGGCTCTCTCAGTGTGCTTCTCAATCCCCTTTCCTGGTCCCCCCACCAGAAGCAGCCACTATCCTTAATCTTGTGTTTTTCATTTCCTTACTTTTTCAAAACATACTTTAACAATATATGTACGTGTCTTTAAACAATATGTCACTATTTTTTAGTATCTCCGAGATTTATAAAAATTATATTACATTATATGTATCCTTCCGTGACTTGCTTTTGTTCACTCAACCATAGGCTTCTGAGGCTCAAACACATTGCACCATGTGGTTGTAAGTCCCTCCTTTCATTGCTTTATAATATTGCACTGAACAACTATACTATTTACCCATTCCCCTGGAGATGGAAATTGGAGTTGTTTCCAAATCTTTGCTATTTTGGCCAATGCTGCTATGAAGATTCTTTTTTGTCCCATGTTGTATACATGCAGGAGTTTCTGTGGGAAAGCACTTAGGAATGGAATTGGAAGCTATGCAATTGTCCATATTTTTTATTTTTTTTATTTTGGGATGTTCTCTGTACCCAAAATGGGGCTCAAACTTATGACCTCGAGATCAAGAGTTGCATGCTCTATGGACTGGGTCAGCCAGGTACCCCTGCAATTGTCCATCTTTAAAAGATAATGATAAGTTGTTTTTCAGGGAGATTGTGCTAATTTATGTACCTGTAAGCAGTGGGTCAGACTTCTTGATTTTTGTCAAGCTGGTGTTTTAAAATGGTATCTCATTCTTTATGGGGAACTTTCTTTTTGTAAAGAATTCAAAATGAGACCTAGCAGGGTAGTCACTTGCTCAAGCCAGCTAGTAAGTGGTGAAGTCAGGGTTTGAACTCAGGTCTTCGGAGTCACACCAGTTAGCATTGCTTGTCTACCTTTTACATCTCTGGGAGAGCCTCGCCCTTTCCCTCGCCTCACCTGCGCTCCACAATCTTCTTGAACTCAATGCGCATGAGCTGGCCCCGGGCTTGTGCCTGGATGCGGGTGATGATGCGGCTCAGCCTCTCATCCCGCATCTCCTCCAGCAGCCCCAGCAGCCCCGCCTTGAAGAACACCTGCAGGCAAGAGGGCTGCAGCCTCAGAGAAGGGTAGCCAGGGTGGAGGAAGAGGGAAGGAGGTGCTGACTAAGCTCCCAGGTGACCCATTACCCATATATCCTAGACCTCAGAGTGAAATATGAAGAACAAGACAGAAAAGAAGCCTGGGTTCCAGCCCTTGGATTAATACAGGAAGCCAGGAATCAGAGGCCTGCTTTCCAAACTCCCAGCTGCTCTGCTCAAGGTGGCGACATGTCCCGCAGTGCCACCCTGTGGGGCTCTAGACCCACCTTGGTGTGGCCGAACTTGTACTGGTTGTGGTCAATGTCCAGGGAGCCCAGCAGCTTCTCTGCCCCTTTCCTGCTGTCAATGAACTGGCCCTCGGGGATGGCTGTTGGGTTCAGGATGCGGTACCTGGAGAGGGAGGTGCCCCAAGTCACCCACATTTTGCACCAATCTGTTCTGCCCACAGCATTCGGGGCCACCTGTGGACTCCCTTCCTCACTAAGTCTGCCCAGGCTTCCCCTGTTCCCTGAGCTCTAGGGTGCCCCTGTACCCACCTCTGCCTGAAGTCCCCATAGAGGATGCGGTTGGGGAAGCCCTTCCTGCAGATGCGGATGCCCTCCAGCACACCGTTGCAGCGCAGCTGGTGCATGACCAGGGGGTTGTCCATCACCCCTGCAGCAGGAGAGGAGAAGCTGTCGGTCTCAGGGCAAGTGGATGCCAAGTGCCCTCCCCAGACTAAACCTTTACACATCACTCACCTGGAGCCTTCCGTTCATTGGGGATGATGCAGCGCACAAAGTGAGGATGAGTGGTCCTCAGGTTGGTCATAAGTTTATTCAGATTCTCCTGGGGTGGATGAGAGTGGGGAGTCAGGAGCCACAGGAGCCCTGGGTCCCTGACAGCCTGTCTCCAGAATTCTCCAAGGGACCAAGAGTTGACACATAATTTATGATGGGAGCTCAGGTTTGGGTAGAATTTACATGCCCAAAATGACCACATAGCTCTAGCTTCTTTCCTCCCCAGACTCAGAGAATCAGATTAGGGTGACACAGTCAAAGGGCTGGGCCTGCCCACCACAGGCCCCCTGGCATCTCTGGGACCTTCTTACCCGGTGGAGGGCCGACACTGTCTGAAAGGATGAGCCCTTTTTCTTGCCTCCTTTGCCTTTACCGCTGTCCCCTAATAACAAGAGAAGGGATGAGGAGCCAGAGTCTGAAAGCTGAGGAACCCTTGGTCAGAGGCAGGGCTCTGCCTCTCACTAGCTGTGTGACTTCACAAAGTGATTCTCCACGTCTTGGTTTTCCCACGACGAGAACAGTAACTGCCTCTAAAAACTGGGATGGAGATTAGATAAGCTTGCTTGCCACATAGTAGGTGCTGAAATCGTATGAGTGCTCTTCTCCCACCTTCTTCGAACCCCTCCCTTCATGCCTGCTTCTTTCCACGGTCTACCTTCCTTCCTGTAGTTCCTCCTCCTCCCAAGCCACAGCCTTTCTCTTCCTTCTCTGAACGGGACACTCACCCATGCTACCAGATGTTCGGTGATCCTTTCAACATTTACCAAGACCTCCCACAGGCACAGCTCTACACTGGGCCAGGCACAGCTCTACGCTCTACACAGCGATGCATGTGCCTCACTCACCTCCAGTTGTTCAGTCTTGAGGAGACACTCGACATGTACACCAATATCCATAACACAAAGTGGAAAATGGCCCTTCTACAGATCAGTGGCAGAATGACTACTGTGAGATTTCCTGACCCCCATCCCATGGTTCGTGGGTTCTCTTCTGCCTCTAGAATCCTGTGCTTTGAAGCAGAGGGACCCTGGCCCCTGGCAACCTCAGAATTGCTCTGGCCCAGGTCAGGGGCTGCCCTCTTACCGACATCAGCAGAAGCATAGGTGGAGAAGAGTGTGGCCATGAGCTTGAGGGAGGACTTCTGGTACAGGCCCACCACTGTCTCGTTGAGTGGGTCTTTGTTCTTCTCCAGCCAGCCCAGGATGTTGTAGTCCACTGTGCCAGCATAGTGGATCAGGGAGAAGTGGGCTTCCTGCTTCCCCTTGATGTTGCGTGGCTTCTGGAAGTTGTTGGACTTGCCCAGGTGGTTATCATACAGCTTGGCCTTGAAGGTCATGTCAGTGGCCTTGGGGAACATGCACTCCTCCTCCAGGATGGACATGATGCCCATGGGCTGAGAGCAGGGGGTGGGGAGGTAGAGAGAGCATCACTGCATGCACTCCCAGGTTTCCAGAGCCCCACGCCTTGCCAGAGGAAAAACTACAGCCCAGTAGAGCTGGCAGGCTACAGTGTCTGGGCTAGCACCTCTTGTCCCAATATAGGACCCTAATATTCTTGGAATTAACCTAAATCTAATTCTATTCAGATCTGGCCTATAACCTCTTTCTGCCTCAGTGGACCTAGTGAAGAACCCTGTGCTCCCAGCCACACTGCCAGGTCCCCAAGGCCTTGCAGCAAGTCCCTCCTTCTTGGATTGCCCCAGGGACAGGTGTATGTCAGAGGTGCCAGACTGAGGGGCAGGCCAGATCTCTGCCTATATGATGGGTAACAGTTCTCCAAGGGATGGTTAGAGGGATCCATGTTCTGCACAACATTCTGCTTTTCAGAGAGTCTGGTGGTTCTTGACTTTCCTTGGGACAGGAATCCTAATGAGAATTTGATTAAACTGAAGATGCCTCCCTGGAAAAATGCATGTAAACACATGTGTGTGTGTGTGCGTGCACGTGCATATACACACACACACACTCTTTTCCATATACTTTCAGGTGATTCTGAGACCTCTGGAAGAGGAGCACCTTGGATAACCACCCAGACCTTCTGGGAAGCTCCAGTTTTCTGAAGGGCACCGGCGGGCCGGGTGAGGGTGGTTATTCTGGGCTCTGGGCTGTACCAGCAAAAGCACACTGAGAACAAGCCAGCACTGGGAACCTCACACCAGCTCCGTTCTTGTCTCCTCTGAGTCTGTGGACAAGAGGAGCTGAAGACTGGCTTATTATCAGCTATCAGGAAAAGGATGGGAAGCCAAATGTCTTTAGTGTCAGCCTAGGATGTTTCCATAGATGATGCTTCCCATGAACTGTCAGAGGGTCCAGGAGTCCTCCCCTCACTACATCTCCTTCTTAAGATTCTGGGAGGTGACCACCATACAGGACAAGGTCTTAGGTCCTGGGGAGAGGAGAAGGGGGCTCATCCCATGTATGACTTCACAGTGGGTAGAAGCTGGGTCTGAGAGAGGCTGGGGATTCTGGGGACTCTAGTTTCTTGGCTGTAGAAGGGACAGCCCTGCCACTCTGCCTGGGATGCCAAGGGAAGGAAACACAAGCAGTGGGTGGAGGCAGCACCTTCTCAATGAGGTCGATGCAGGCCTGCAGGTCCATGCCAAAGTCGATGAACTCCCACTCGATGCCTTCCTTCTTGTACTCCTCCTGCTCCAGCACGAACATGTGGTGGTTGAAGAACTGCTGCAGCTTCTCGTTGGTGAAGTTGATGCACAGTTGCTCAAAGCTGTTGAACTGCAGGGGGTGGGGGCGGAGTGGGTCAGGCAGGCAGGGGTCTGAGGAGCCAGTGGGGTCAACCCAGGCCCGTGCCCAAGCCCAGCCAGGGGTGTGACTGGTCCCCTCCCCTGTCAGGCCGGGAAGGGGGAGCTCCCCTGGAAGACAGGACGATGTGTCTGCCACCCCTGAGCCCCACTGTCTCTCCCGCGACTGGCCACTGGCCATGATGGTCACAGATGAGTGAGTCACTGCCCCCTCCCTCGCACATGTGCCCCTAGGCTCCCCCCACTCACGTCGAAGATCTCGAAGCCGGCGATGTCCAGGACCCCTATGAAGTACTGGCGTGGCTGCTTGGTCTCCAGGGTGGCATTGATCCGTGTCACCATCCAGTTGAACATCTTCTC